CCATTGGTTTAATAGGGGACAATTTCAGAAAGGTCAGTGCGGCTGGCACTGAGAGACAGAGAGCTACGTGACCTCTAAGCGGAATGTACGGGACCGCCTGGCACGGGAATCTTACAGTCATTTCTATGAAAGGAATATGTTGACATACCTTAAGCAAATTTTAGTAGATGGAAATCCAATAGGCATGCACAGATACTGGTTTTTCAGTATCGAGTACCAATATTTTTTTTTTGGTACTCAACAATACCGATTACCGTCCCATTAAGGAAGCGTGTAATGATTCGCCACGCGGCTTCCCGTTAAGCAGGGAAGCGGTCTCCATGCTCCCTCATCACCAGGTGACGAGTAAGCATGGAACCAGCTTTCTGGCCAATGAGGAAGCCGGGCGCCGTGTAATGATTCGCTGCCTAGTTTCCTGATTGGCCAGCTTCTCGACCAATCAGGAAGCCAGGCAATTAGTCATTACACCGCGCCCGGCTTCCTGATTGGCCGGAAAGCCGGCTTCATGCTCCCTCGTCACCTGGGGGTGTCATATGACAAAGGTTAACTGGCTATACAATTATTCTAAAAGTGCCGGAATCAATTTAGGGTTTCTTTACTTCAAGCGGATTTAACATTCTCATACAAGTCTATGGAGATGCACAACTTTAAGGAGAACTATGGGGTTAGGGCTTTTCCCCATAGTTCTCCTAAGGGTAACGGGAGGACATATACTAGCGTCCTCCCGCCACCCTAAGCTCAGTATACCGCGAGCTACAGCTCGCGGTATACTGAGAGGCCGCAGCGGATCCTGACGTAGATGACGGGATCCGCCCAGCTGCGTGAGTGACAGCTGGCTCTGCCTATCTAGAGGCAGCGGTACCCGCCCCCTCCCCCGTCCGTTCCACCAGTCAGCGCTGGAGGATCGGACAGGGGAGGGGGGAATCCTGCAGGGAACCGTGAGTAACAGTCACGGCTCCCTGCAGGGATAGATCGAGAAGTGAGCGAGCGATGGTATGTGTTCGCTCACTTCCCGATCTACTCAGCCGACCTGTGACAGTTTCATTGTCCCAGGTCGGCTCAGATTATGAGGCTGAGTGATAATCACTCACCTCATAATTCTCCTTTTATTAAAGGTCAAATGCAGTTCAGAAGAAGGTCTACTCCAGGCCAAATTCAGGTCAGGAGGAAGTCTACTCCAGGCCAAATTCGGGACAGGAGGAGGTCTACTGCAGGTCAAATTCAGGTCAGGAGGAAGTCTACTGCAGGCCAAATTCGGGACAGGAGGAGGTCTACTGCAGGTCAAGAGGTCTACTGCAGGTTAGGAGGAAGGCTACTGCAGGTCAAATTCAAGTCAGGAGGAAGGATACTGTTGGTCAGAAGGAGGACTACTGCAGGTCATATGTACTTGTCAATGAATTCTGAATCATCTCAGAAGCATCTCATACTGAAGTCAGACTGATGCCTTCGACACAATGCCAAAGCCCTTTGATGCAGGCCCTTTAACCCTTTCACTAAGGTGACAGACATACTTTAGTGAGAGTCATGGATGGAGCGTGGAACACTCATGGACACTCAGCATGGAAAGTCACATTTGATTCTTTTGAATACTCTCCATCCCTAATCCCAAAAACTTTTCACCAATAGCACTACGTGAAGTGTTAGGCATTGGAATACTGGCAGCCGAGCATTACAAAGCGGTAATATTTCCTATGAATACACATCATTTGTCTTTTTGAATTACGGATCCGCCGGCGCTGTCAAAGAACAAGATTAGCCGGTTTCTCCGGGAAAAGTCGGGATTTGCGTGGCAGTATGGGCTGTTCGTGTTTCAGTTTGCTCTCTGCCTTGGAGACCCTCAAATCACATTAGGGGTAATGGTGTGTTTTGGAAACACTTCCTACCCCTCAGATCAACATCTGACAGTAAAACTTGGCTCTACATCAAGAAAGAAATACAGAGTGGATGCATAATACACTGCTACAGAGCGCAATGCGTCAGCCCGGGACTACAGTCACAGCTCCCCAGGAAAGCCGGCTGGGCTTAGAAAAGAGTCCGATTTGTAAAACAATATACAAAATCAGCAAAAAAATGATATCGCTGGTAAATAAAGAAGATATAAAACCAAATCACTAAAAACTCATATGTTTTAACATAATATTGTAATTTCAAAAGTAATTTTCAATATTTTTTACTTTCATTATGACCCCTGGTGATCCTGCCATGAAGATCCTTATTCAGGATCCTGTTATAAGGTGACAACGCTCTGTCCCTGTCACCCAGTTGTGCTCCTGTGTTGTCACTCTGCCACCTGCTTACCCAAAAGGAGGCTAGAAGTGGCTGCGCCCATTTATATTACACAAATTTGTTACACTATTGCCACCGTCAGACAGGTCACTAATTCAAAATCTAGTCTACTCGTCTTCATAAACTCCTGAAGAGTGGAAGACTTTACATACCATATCATGTAGACATGGACGGCCATTGAAGAAGAATGAACCCCCCCCCATGTGTGCTTTTCTGCCAGTAGTGCCAGTGTTATGCACAATTGACATACACATCTACCCAGCGAGTCCAGCCTTGTCCTGCTATGACCCACTACACCACTGCCACACGTAGGATTCCATGCCGCCATCTTTGTTTCTGACATCATCAAGACCCGGTTGTCTCTTCCTGGCTCAGGTAGCTGGCTCCTGATGATGCGTCACCAGGTCTGCTTCCCTTTGTCCACTGTATGGAACCTGAGAATGGCGGTTGGGGGGTGGGCAGAAGAGCTGTCCATCTAACGAGTGAAGGTCCGCTGTAAGTCTTATTGGCCTCCAGGACTTCTCTATAGTCTATCCCATCCTCTGGGACTCTTTACCCCAACATGTCCGACTATCTTCCACTCTGACTGCCTTTAGGTGATCCCTTAAGACTCATCTCTTCAGGGAAGCCTATCCCACATAACACTAACCACTGAACTATCACGTTCTCAAACAATTCATCCCCACACAGCTACCTCCTCATGTATCACTTCCCCCTTCCTCTTAGATTGTAAGCCCTCAGGGGCAGGGCCCTCCTTACCATTGTGTCTTGCATTCTATTGTAATGTCTTCCTTACATTGTAAAGCGCTACACAAACTGTTGGCGCTATAAAAATCCTGTATAATAATAATAAGAATAATTGGAGGATGGTCAACCATTGCAACCCCCTTTTAGGTTTCCCTCCATCTTTGCACCCAGGGCCTCATCTACTGGACCTACTTTAAGAGAACATTAAACCCAAATTCAGTCTCTCCCACTCTAATGCCTGTGAGGTGTTTGATCTCTATGAAAAGAACCTCACTTCATAAACATAACCTTTTATCCCATAAGGGGACATCTGCTAAAATTGTCACCTGACCTAAATAACTCTCTAAGTTGGCTTCAATGGGACGTATTAATTGGCTGAAGATGTTTACTCAACAGTGTTTGTCTCAATGGACCGTCGTCCTCGCTGAAAACAGATGTCATGCACGGTATGGTCTGTGACAGATTTTTCTGGTTTGCCGTTAGAGTCTTGTTTACTTCCACTATTGGCATTTTATTCCTTTTATTTTTAATTTATTACAAATAAAACAAGAATTGAACACAACTAGAGTGTATAAATGTTGTATGGATACCAAGGAAAATGTTATTATATCAACGATCTGTAGATATCCTGGAACAGTGCTAAAGCTGGACTCCGGCCTTCCCTTCAGTCTTGCACTGTTGGACCGGCTCCTCTTCTTGCATTAGAAGCTGCAGCAAATCAGATAGAACCAGCCTCATTTCCTGGCTGGAGGATATCTAGCACTGACTGTCCCTGGCCCAACCTTTCATTGCTTGGATTCCAGTCCTTTAAATCATGGCAGCTCAGCACACATGTGGGTGTTACCCTATGGCGGTCTGTATATACATGCAGACAGCCTAGGAACGCCCACTCTTCAAGACTGACATCCACCCATCAAGGCATTTTGATAATTACCTAACTCCTCCCAAGAGCCAGCCCACTGCTTGCATCATGGCTTAGGGCTCTTGAGAAGGAGTACTGAGTCCAGGTGCTGTGATGTTTTCAGGAAGCTATGCACAGCACCCTGCCAGCCCTTCCCACCAGCCATGGTATGTAGTGCATCTCTGAGGCTATTCATGGCAGCCTCCATATTTCTTCTTTTTACTCTACATTTCTATGCTCAGAGTGAGCTTTGCCCAACTTAGATTGCTGATAATAATACAATATTGGTCTAAATATCAGATTGTTGTGAAAAGCTTTTTTCTCTAATGTATCCATCGTCATCCTGTATTATCCCAGCAGGTGCTGTAGATAGCTTCCTGATAACATCTCTGCACCCTGCTGGCCGCTCCCACCAGCCATGATCTGCCTGCAATGCATAGAGACCCGGTGGTGACATCACAGAGTCTAGAATAAGGTATGTGGTAAACATGGCAATGTTTTATTTAAAATGTTTTATTACCATGCTTGATGAGCGGGGAGAAAGGGACCAGGGAAGGTAAATAATAAGCAGATCAAACTTCAGTGTCAACATTTTCATGATGTATGGCTTCATTTTTATAATGAATGGTTTGATGGTGCCGCTCGTGAACATTCAAATTTCAGTCTAAATTCGATCAAGCAATAAGGGCCAGCTTTGCCTCTTACCTGTGTCGCAGGATCTTTTGGTCGGCGTGGTTAAAGAGACATGGACTGTGTCTGTGCAGGGCCCACCTATAACCGAGAGAGACAAGTCAGGTTGGAGTCACACTGGACTGATCAATATACTCAATGTCAATCAAATTCATATCACTCAAAGGGGAGCGGTGGTCTTTATTTTATTAAATATACACACATAGGAAAAAGATTGTCTTCAAGTAAATCTTTTTCATTTGAGTTCACACTTAAAAACAGTGTTTTTCACTTTCACTAAATTTTTATTAAAGGCCAAGTTCACCTTTTGAAAAAATAAGGAAATGCATATTTAATAATATAAACAAAAATACAAAAATACACTTACATTTTTTTTTTATATATATATTAAATCCTGGAAAGTAGAAATGAGAGTACTGATATTTTTTCTTCGGTACTCACTGATACTGAATGTCCCATTAAGGAAGCCGATCTTCCCGATTAGCCGCCTCCATGCTTCCTCGTCACCAGGTGACGAGGAAGCTTGGGGCCAGAAAGCAATCAGGAAGCCGCTGCCCGGCTTCCTGATTGGCCGGGAAGCCGTCTCCATCCTTCTTCATCACTAGGTGATGAGGAACCATGGAGCCGGCTTTCTGGTCAATCAGAAAACCGGGGGGCGGGTAATGACTTGCCGCCCGGCTTCCTGATTGGCTTGCTTTACGACTAATCAGAAAGCTTGGTGACGAGCGAGCATGGAGCCGGCTTTCCCGGCCAATCAGTAAGACGGGAGGCGAGTCATTACGCGCCCCCCCTGGCTGCCTGATTGGCCGGCAAGTCAGCTCTATGCTCACTGGTGAAGGAGCTGGCCAATCAGGAAGCCGGGCAGCGTATAATGACTCGCTGCCCAGCTTCCTGATAACGGATGTTCCGGTATCGGGATAGGCATCCAGAGCATTTGGGTAAGTACGAGTACTCGGTATTGGCACCGATAAGTATTTCTTTCTTAGCAAGAAGCGCTTCTCATTGGTCAGGTGTCCGTACTGACCAATGAGTGTTCGCCATTTGCGAGCAAAATTTAAACCTCAGTACATTACATCCAACGTGCAGGGCCCAAGCACACCACTGTGGTGCGTTAGTGCACACACATTAACATGCCTTGCGTTAAGGCAGCCCATCTATGCAAAAATTCTGGCAACATATCATGCATTAGAACGTTGCCACGCTTTCGTCGGCAAGGTGCGTTTGGGTGCCATGAATAGCACTGCATCACACAAACGCATATAACATGCACTGCCATGTGTTTTGTGTTAAAGCGCACGGTATGGCAATGCAATAGTGTGAGTGGGCTCTTAAAGACAGCTTTCCCAGGCATCAAAAAATTCACTTGACACTTTTGAAAAGCTCTGTCAACACTGTTGAATTTAATGCTTTCCAAAACAAGCCCTCACTTAGTTTGATGGGTACGTTTTAGAGTATTTCCCTCGACTTCATCTTATTATACTACCGTATACATTCCTACAGTCCGCTTCTGAATAGTTTAAAAACATAAGTGACAGACAGATGATTTCACATGCAACTCTTGTATATGCATGTGATAAACGCAGTAAGCAAAGTGAGCGGAGACAATGTTTATCCGCCGTGTCTGTAGCTACCCGGTTAAACAATCTGGCGGATTAGCAGGTTTCTGAAGCTTCCGAAATGAGAGAAACGCCAGATTTGTAATGCAAATTGCCTAATGAAGCAGCGGGAGGGCGCGCAGTTTATTTCTGGCGAAGAGACTGACGCTGTTCATTATTAACGCTCACGCTGTGCTGTTCGCCGGGCCCTCCCTAAAGATGAACTCACCTGAATCTCCATTACTTTTCTGCAGACAAGGGGACCGCGGCATTTTCATCACCTAATTAATGAGGCTGCAATGGACTAGGGGAGCCTAATTACCCAAAAAGCAGAGTGTGGGATCGGTGAATGCAAGAACAGCAGCCTTCATCGCAGTGACCGATAATGGTACAGGTCTAAATAATTTATGCAGCTTAAGGATGTCGAGGTCATACAAGAGTTCCTCATCGTGAGGTTTAAGAGCAGCATGGTATGACTGGAGCAACATTAGATAAGCAGCTGAAGGGTTGAAAAACAAGTGATAAGTGCTCACAGAGAAATAAGAAACCTAGAACACCGACGGCAGAAAAAAATCAAGTGGTCCACTGAGTCTGCCCTATGGATCAAAGATTATTCCCAGCATGTTTATATTCACTTATGTTGACTGATTCCCTACCTCTGCTATAGACTGTTCCAAACATCTACTGCTCTGTTGGCAAAAATAATAACTACGTTACTCTTGAACTTTCCTCCCGCTAATACAGTATATGGTCATACCGCAATGTTATCAGCTTAATCATGAAAATACTGCCCAACTGATCCATTGTCACACCCTACGTATTTAAAGGTTTCGGTCATGTCCCGCCTTTTACCTTCTTTCCTCGAGACTGTACATATTAAGTTCCTGTAAGCTCTCCTAATACGTTTTATCCTTCAGATTTTGTAACAGTTTTGCTGGCCACCTATGGACTCTATCTTATTAATATCTTTTTGTAAATGAGGTCTCCAGAAGAGGACACAGTATTCTGAATGAGGGTCCAACTAAAGATCTCTATAGGGGAATCAGTATCTCCTTCCTCCTGCTGGGGATCCCTCTAGTGATAATAAAGATCTATATATAGAGGAATCAGGACCTCCTTCCTCCTGCTGGTGATCCCTCTAGTGATAATAAAGATCTATATAGAGGAATCAGGACCTCCTTCCTCCTGCTGGGGACCCCTCTAGTGATAATAAAGATCTATATAGAGGAATCAGGACCTCCTTCCTCCTGCTGGTGATCCCTCTAGTGATAATAAAGATCTATACAGAGGAATCAAGACCTCCTTCCTCCTGCTGGAGATCCCTCTATTTTCATGATATAAAGATCTATATATAGGAATCAGGCCCTCTTTCCTCCTGCTGGTGATCCTTCTAGTGATAACTAAAGATCTATATAAAAGGTAGGAGAACTTCCTTACACCTGCTGGGGATTTTGCTAATGATACCTAACGATCTATATATAGAGGAATCAGGACCTCCTTCCTCCTGCTGGTGATCCTTCTAGTGATAACTAAAGATCTATATAAAAGGTAGGAGAACTTCCTTACACCTGCTGGGGATTTTGCTAATGATAACTAAAGATTTATATTGGGGAATCAGAACCATCTTTCTCCTGCTGGTGATTCTTCCAGTGATAGCTATTTTTATGGGGGAATAAGAACCTCCTTCTGGTGATCCCTTTAGTGATGCACCCTCAATTTCTATTCTTTCCTGCTGTCTGGCCACAGTTTGCCCATCAACACATTGTGGAATCTTTAAATCCATAAAAACGAAGCAGTATTCAGCAACATGTTTTCAAATTCCTTCTTTATTCAACTGCACCACAGCTGTGAGGGTCAGAAGCGTGTGACTTATATACAAAAGAGCTGGCATCAGTTTAGTGTAGAATAAAATTACACCAAATATCTACTTGGAAAAAAAATGCTAAAAACGATCTTTATATCCGGATAGACGGAGCTGACCACATCTTTACAGAGAGTTAAAAGGTCTTATTAGTGTCTAGGCCATGGCAAATTTCTGTTACATAAATGTATTTACCTAAACTTTTAAGTGCTCACGTGCAGAACAGCCTGGCTTTGACCCTATGAAATGTATTCTGCAAGAAAAACTTAAAAACTGCACATTTAAAATGCTCAAAATTTGCTCTGATGCGGAGACATTTAGAACAGAGTCTGAAATTTTCACAGAAAAGATTCCCATGTATTCAATGCAGCTGTAGCAATAACGACTGAATAAATAAAAGTCTGGAAGCTAGATTTGGATGTGTAGATCTGGTCGATCTCTTAATCAATTGAACAGAAGGTGATATTGTTATAAAGCAAACATTTAGGGGATGGGAACACAACACAGCCAACAGAGAGAACTTTGTGATATCAGTTCCAATACCAAGAACAGACCAGAGAGAGATCCATTTCCAGGAAGGGATTAAAGAGTTCAAATGCCTGGACAGGACTAAAGAGAAATTGAAGAACGCTTCCCACTAAGAACAGGGTCAAAGAGAGCTCAGCACCCAGAATGGGATCATGAAGAGCTCCCCTCCGAGGACAGGACCTAGGAGACAGGACCCCCCTCCCCCAGAAAGGGACCAAAGAGAGCTCCCCCTTTCCAGGATGGGACATAGGAGAGGTCTTCTTTCCAGGATGGGACATAGGAGAGGTCTTCTTTCCAGGATGGGACATAGGAGAGGTCTTCTTTCCAGGATGGGACATAGGAGAGGTCTTCTTTCCAGGATGGGACATAGGAGAGGTCTTCTTTCCAGGATGGGACATAGGAGAGGTCTTCTTTCCAGGATGGGACATAGGCAAAGTCCCCCTCCCAGAATGGGACCAAAGAGAGCTCACCACTCCAGACACAACCCAGGACAGTGCACCTCTCAAGATGGGACAAAACAGAGTTTCACTTACAAAACATGGTCGAAAAAAGTTTCCGTCATGGTACAGCTCAAGGAGACCTCTACTTCAAGTAAGAGACCAACAGAGCTCCAATCCTAGGCCAAGACCAAGGTACGCCCCACCAAAATAAGCTCCATTAACAGGACATGACCAAGAAGTGTTTAACTTCTAGCCCATGAAGCAAGACATGAATCAAGGCGAGTCTTGCCGCATCACTACCCAGGTTATGGCATCTTCAGGTTACGGAGCTTCAGAGATACGACCATCTAACGCACAGTGAAGAGTTCTACTACCAGAAGAGGGAACAATACAGCGCAATGCAGAATATAGCTTGCAGGACGAGACCATGAAGAGCTTCTATGACAGCACCAGGGAGCATTCTGTTGCTGGAATTCTAACTGCGCAGAAGTAGGGAGTCTACCTGGATGGAAGAGAGGTAGGACTGGAGCTCTGCTGAAGTGTTTCTGAATCTGTGAGAAGCTGCCATGCCTTGCACAGCCGTAGTATAACTACAAAAGACACCGACATACTGGGCTGGATATGTCACAAAGAATACAGATAGAGTCCAAATTAGGG